GCATAAGTGGTATGTTTTTTGACATTGGTCTAGCTGTCCACTACTTTCCTCCTAGCTGTTCTACCTTCAGCCAACTCTTCCTTTTACTTGGCTGTTTGACAGTGATCAACTGTCTCCACTATTGCTGGTTATTGGGTGGCCTTGTCTACAACATTTTGCCTTTCTCAGTATTGCAAGTTGTTTTCCTTCCCAGTTCTCTCCACCTTTTTCTGGTCAAAACTTGTCCATAGAGCTACTCGCCCTGTTCTCATGCCCATCTGGGACTTCAGTGTTGTCCTGTATGTTTTTACACCTGCTCTTTTTGAGCCATTTGCAACCTACAAATCACACCACCTTTCTCTTAAGACCTAATTCCTCCTCTCACCTGTGGTTGCTCTCTTTTGGATATCTATGCTATCGACTCTTCCTGTACCCCTTTCCATCATTTTATATTCTTCTTTATCCTTACTGGATAAAGTCTCTCTTCCTAAGACTTTAGCCACTGTTCCTTTTTTCCTATCTCCCCTCCTTCTATTTCACATCTTTATGATTGATCGGACCCAGGCAGACTTTTGTGCCTTTCATTGCTACTTATCTTGTGCTTCTCACTTTCGCGGCTTCCGTCAGTTTCTATATTTGGTCTATTTCTCATTGGGGGTTGATGCTTGCAGACTGTTCTGCATTTCATTCCATCAGATTCCTCACCTCACTCATTCCCTCACCACTTGTTTCTGCTGGCTGCATATGGACCACCTCTCACACTTTGTTGCCCATTATCTTCACCATCTGGGTGTCTCATTTCCTGAAGGTTACTGCCTACCTCCATTCACCATCCTATAGTTTATCCACTGTCTTTAGACAGGTATGTTTCATTTTTCTTATTACAGCATTCACTTATAGGATCTTGCCAGGTGGCTTGTGGTGCATCCCAGGGTATACTTATTTCCAAAAAGACTGCATAGAGTCAGGACAATGGAAAAACACTGTATATGCCCATTGTTGAGATGGGGTGTTCTGCAAGACCACTTGAGGTGTCCTTGTGGTATACTTACATATCTGACTATTGTCTGATACATAGCCTACCTATTCCATAGACTATCATGAAAAAAGTCAGTAGCATAGGGTGCTCTGCCTGATTCCCTGGCTTGCACTTGCTGGCTTTCAAACTGGGGTGGTGGACCATGGAGAATCCTCACTGACTGGGACCTAATCACTGGGGCTAGAACAAGGGGTGCTAATCATTGGAAAGTGGGGTGGTGGTGACACTGTCAATTTAGTGCAGGTCACTCCTTGTATAACTATAGTTATAGCATGCCATGTGGCCTGAGTCTGTAGAGTGGAGTTGGGTGAGTACATCATACGATACTGTACCTTTCTACTGCAGCTTGCAACTGTTCAGCAGTGTCAAGGTGAGCATGCACCACTAAACCATTCTCTCCTCTTGCAGTTGATGTCTCTTCATTTGCGTCAAGGTGTGCATACATACGCTATGTCATGATTCAGTGCCCTCCCCCCCGCAGCAGGTGTTGGTAAGATAGTCTGATGGAAGAGAAGAGTTGAGATGAGCAAAAGTTATAATCTGAACGTGCATCAACCATACTATACATATTGACTCTTAGACCTCTTGTGTGCAAGTACTTGCACAACCATGTTCTTATTCAGCCCATCCCTGCAACACATGGGGCTTATTTGCCTGTTCCTCTCTTTTTCCTTGGTGAAGAATATACCTTGGAAGAAATGAGATGCAGTCTCCCACTGGTGTGCCATTATGGAGCCCCTGCTGTCGGATGTCACACACTGTGGGTTTCCTTTGGGTACTTTCTGAAGGGAACTTGTCTAGGTGAATCTTTGCACTGGCCCATCTGCCACTTCATCATTGGATTCTAACTTAATTGTGTGTAGAGGTGTTTATTGTCTTGGATGTTAACATTTTCCTTACCTGAAAATCTATTGCTGATAGACACTTCTTCACATACCTTCTTACCCTTCTTCTGGTTCACCTTTGTATTCCTTGTTTCATCAAAGAATTAAAATTCATGAGTGCAAAAGCATAGAGGGAGTTAGTGCGCAAGGAGGTATGTTGCCCTAGTGTTAGTGGAGGGTTGTTGCTGCATAATAATGGCATTATTCAGTAGCACATTTCATGAGATATCTCATGAGATTAAGTGGGATTTGCTTAAAGGTTAGTGGCATGCAAATCTCTAAGGCACAGGGAAGAAACTTAATTGTGTGAAGCAATGAGTATCTATTGGAAATCCATTTTCAGGTAAGGAAAATGTTAACTTTATTTAGAAGGTTGTAAAGGTTATGCAAATGAAATATAAAAACTTAATGATGAAAATGATTATTTTTTAATCTTGTAAATCATCTTTCACTCTTACCAACTTGGTAAAGCCTTTATAAATTTATAGACATATCTTCAACAGAAATACTTGATTAAAATAAATCTTCTTTTATTTGTACATAAACTTATAATATTTACTGAAAATTGCCAAATTTTGTTACAGAAAGATTAATCTTTATTTTGATCTCTGAAGAATTGGAATAATCAAAAACTAATAATTGGTAACACTAGTTGATTATGTTTAAGGCATTAATTGAGTTAACATAATTTTGATTATTCATTTACTAAACTCTACACTAATTGATGCACATAGATAATCTATTATATTGGTTAACTGAGTTAATCAGCCAATTCTAGGCTTTAATCATATACTAAGTGTTGTTAATTTTTTTTTTTCTATGGTGGCATGTGTGATAACTGTAGGGTGACCAGGCATCCCAGTTTTGCTGGAACAGCTCTGTTTTATGGTAGTTTGTCCCAGTGTCTCTCAAGAAAAGTTGTCAGTGTCAGAATTAAAAAAATAATATTATATATGTATATAGGTTCTGGTTTCTTTTTTTGCCAATTGTTGAAATAAATGCCTTTTACTTATATTTCTTTATAGTATAAATATATATACTATGTTCTTGTTTGGCTTAGGATTCTTCTACAGTAGGTGTCTGTGACTTGTTAGCGATAAATTCAACGGTGAATAAACAGCACACACTTTACTTGTTTTCAAAAAATGTATATACTCGGAACAAGTTAAATGTATATACAATAAAGTATTCACATTATAGAGCATATAAGCATATCGTAAACCTTATATCAGTATATGTATAGTTCTCCTGTTCTTGTCAAAAGTCCACTTAGGCCTGTTCAATTACTTTAGATTCTCAGTTGACAAGCCAAACTATTTTCTCTAATACTGTCTCAATATTAGTTTGGCGTGATTCATCTACGATTATTGTCTTCTTCTGAAGATCCTATGTTCCTTTTGTCAAAATATCCCAATTTTTATGATAAAGACTTGAAACTGTCAGTCACATTGAATCCAGAATGTAATAAGTCTACTTGACTTGCTCATTGATGAAACACATATTGTCCTGCTGCCAAACTCTTTCGAATGTTTTGTCTGTATGTGATGAGAAACCCGGGTCTGTGTGGGTCTGAATGTAAAGAGAGTTAAGGTAGTGCTTATTATCAAAACACAGTTATGTAGGGCTTTAATGATTATTTAATGAAAAAAACAAAACTTCTACATTCATTCATTCTTCACAAAAATATGTCTTAAAATATTTCAAAGTAATGTGTTTGAAACTTTTATGGATTCTTAAATCAAGGTATGAAGTAGCCTATTATAAGATGAATTGGATAAAATAAATAATTAATGATATCTTGTTTGTATAATTTCTTTATTTTTGCTCATTTGATTTTTTTCTATCACAAAAAGTTAAAATTATTTCAAAAATAATGTCAATGTTAATATATTTGGAAATATTTGGGTCCAGTCTATTAAAATTAAATTACTTCAAATTTATAATAACCATTTTAAAATTAAGAGCAAGGGTTGGACTGTCTTGGTTTTTCAACTTAGAAATCTGGTCACCCTAGATAAGTAGAATGAAAAGGTTAGAAACTTGAATTTAAACCAGTTTATGCAAGTTCTTGAAAGCCTTGTAAACTACTAGTGTTTGAAAATTTTAATTTTTCTTATTAAAGTAATTGGAAAAATTGTATTGAGGTTTAGTTTTGTTTGGGATTTTTTTTCTTAACTCATATTATTATCAAGTAGCTAAAAAATCAGATTAGTGATACTTAGAGTTTGGCAATTAGCTAAATTAATCCACATAATCAATTACTTATGAGTATCAGTTACATTGGTTAGTGTCATGTAAAATAATTGATTAATTGAAATTATGATTAAACAGATTGTGTTATCAACTGATTAAAATTGTTTCCAGTTATTATTGTAATTGATTTTCAACAATCCATGTAATCAAAGTATTACCATTATTGCTTTTGATTCATTTAAGGTTGTTTGGCTGAATTGATTACTTATGACTCGTGAGAATAAGTAACTAAACAAAATTGAGTTTTCCGATTATTCCAGCTATCCAATTCTGATGTAAGAATAAATGATTAGTTGAATGTAATCAATTAATAACCTTTACACTCTCAGTTATGTAATGATTATGGATGTAACATTCACATTTCCTACATGTGTGGCTATAATGTTTCTAGTAATGTGTACCTATAGTGTTCTTGTTAATCCTCCATATTAGTTGTGTGTGTGTGTGTGTGTATGTGTGAAAGAAAGTTTAGGCTATAACGTGTGTGTGAGTAAGAAAGAAAGCTTAAGTTAAAATTCTTGTTTTTAATTCCACTTCTGTTCCATGCTTTCATGAATTCCTTATCTTATGCTTTCTTATTCAGCTATAAAGACAGAAACTTGATTCAGGTTAAACCTGAATAGACAATTAAGCCGTTAAAATCAAGATTTACATGTATATATATATATTTTAATATTTAATCAAGCATGAATTATATTTATCCAAAAATCACATTTAAGATTAAGGATCAGAAACTTGATTTAAAAACATAATGTCAAAATTAAAAGTTTATATTCCTTAATTTGCTCAGTTTGTGGGGTTATCATGATCATTTGTGGTGTAAGTAAATTGTATATTTCTTGAAGTGGGCGATGTCAGAAAGTACACTGGATGGAAACACGTTGGAAGGGTTGCAGACTGAGAGAAAGTGGCCAAGGGAGTTTGAAAGTGACCATCAAGAAGAAAGTGTATGGACTCAGAGAGACAAGTGTGTTTCTTTAGTCTTATCAGGAAGGAGTTTGGGTCAATCAAAAAAAAAGAGACGGAAGTTTCGAGAGGGACTGGATGTTTTGTGTAGATGGACTGACGGGTTATTATATCTAGGAGTTATTATTAAGGTAAGCTTAATGATTGTTGAATCATTATTTGATTTGAGTGATAGATTCATTATAAAGCACTTTGGAATATTTGGATATTTTTTTTAAGTTTATGTAGACTTTATTTGGATAGGGGGAAAAATAAATTATGACAATGAAGCTAATACCACTCAGGGTTCTCTCCAGCACTTTTTAAGAGTACTACCAATATGCTTTTATTTTTTCTAATAAATCTTCTTGTGCCCTGGTACTCTAACATATATGACCAACATACCAGTTGACAGATAACTGCAGCTGCCAATGAACTATTTATTATGTAGAGCACAAGTGAGTGTTGTCTTTCTGCATACCAAAAATAGTCTTCACCATTTACATGAAAATACTCAATATCATTTTCTAACTGGTTCGTGGTATTTCTGTCACTATTTTCAGGCATGAACCAGTTCACTCACTTTATTTGCATGTCTGCAGCCTAAAATTTTGCATTTAATAGACCTAAATGACATGGCATGTGGGTGCTTCTTGGGAAGTAGTCACACCAGTTCACACTGTGTGAACTAAGTCCTTGCATGCTTTGCCTGATTTTTCTGTGATCAGAGTCTTAGAGTAAAACAGAAAGAAACAAGCGAGGAACTTATGAGACAGAGCTTCAAACATTTAAATAAAAAATATCACCATGGTGTCTCTGTGCAAACGATGCATTTTCATCTGTTGTGTAGCCAAGATTGTATTGTATCAGATTGTGATTTAAGTTTACATTATAAAACAACAATAATAATAATATATTCATAGGAATAACTTCTGATAGTCTCACATAAGTTTACATCATGGACTAAGCAATGTTTTTTCACTCTGTAAGATATAGCTAATGGCATAAATTAAAGCAAATTAAGAAGACTAACAAAGTATTCAGTGATGTATGCACAATTGAGAAATTTATCTACAACATAGCTGGTAGATATAGGCAAAAATTATTTGATTTTCAATTTATCTTCGAGTACGTCTGTCTGTTCAAGCACAAAACAAATGTCCATTTGTTCACTAATATCATGCAAAAATTATTTGCACTGTGTATATTGACAGGAAATCAGGCTTGTGAAAAGCATTCAGTATTTATGTCAGGAATATCCACTTGCAATATTTTTCACATATCTCTTTCTTCCTTGTCAAAATGTAGCAATAAAACTGTGTATATTATGGTTAGCAATGAAAACAAAGCTGAGCTACTTACTTAAGACCAACATGTTTCCTAGGTAGTAGTTTAGGGCAAGAGTGTCATTGAGGTGTATTGTAGGGTTTATTATCATTTGTGGTGTAAGTAAATTGTATATTTCTTGAAGTTGGCGAAGTCAGAAAGTACACTGGATGGAAACACGTTGGAAGGGTTGCAGACTGAGAGAAAGTGACCATCAAGAAGAAAGTGTGTACTTGTTACTGTTTAAGTTTGATTATTTAAAATTGATATATATTGAATTATAACTATTTGGTAGAAGAATTCCATAAGCGTAAAGAAAGAAGTGTACACTACTGGCACTCTCATGTAGTGAATTTAGTCAGTCTGTAATTAGATCAAAATTAGATTTAATAATAAAAGCATAAAACAAACATTAAGAGCAAATTAAATATCAACCTTACCAATGGATGATGGAGATATTTGGCATAGGAAGAACCTATGACTGTAGCATGTTTCTCCATTGATTTTAAGTCAGTCAGTGAAGTTTCATTCTAATTTTTCCATGCATATGATTTTCTAAACAAGAGGCAAAATTGAAATGCCTTTCCCTACTTTACCCTTCAACTCGTGCATAAATACTTCTCATTTATTATATCTTGTTTCATTAAATTAAGGGATTAATGTTATTGCAGGGAAAGCAAGAAGTTTTGTACTAGTAGAATTATTATATTATCAATTTGAATTGGTTCAGAATGTTCTACAAGAAAGATACCTTTATTGTGCACAGAGTTTTACTGTGGTGTTTTCAGATACTGTTATGCACACAAGTATCAGATAGGTTTACCTAATTATGGGAGGATTGAGTAGGAAATGTGCAAAATAATTAGAATTTGAAAACCAACTTGACTTTTAAGCTGTGTTAAAAATAAGGAGACTGGGTATGTATGATATTAAGTGAAACAATCTTTATTAAAGACAAAGCAAACAAAACAGGGTGTGTACTTGTGTGAGTACATACACAATTACCTGTACTGGATGTGTGAATAGAGCATCATTTTTTTATCTCAAAATGAATATCTAGAGAACTATCTGCATTAAAACCAAGCAGAAATGTGGAAATACCATGGCTCGCTGTACTTATATAGGAAACTGCATTCTTTTTTTTCATTAGTGTCACCAATTGACTGGCCATTCTTTTACAACATTCATTGGTGTAACATGCACACATCATCCACTCTGCCAGTGAAGGATGTTGCAGTCATTGACTGTTTCCTACACTTATGTGCAAAGTTGTTGCTATCAAGAACAAGAAAGACACAAAAGCAACTAGAAGAAAACAGTTTCAACATTTTTCTGAATTATGTGTTTATAACAAAATGCATAGAAACAGATTAAACAAAAAATTTTAAAAATTCCTATATTAGTAAAAATAGTGGAAAACATGATACGCCTGCATATCACAATATCACTAATCACTTTCTTAAAATCTTGCAGTTAGTTTGCTGATACATCATTAAAGCTCTTTGAAAAGTGGGAGGTGAGACTGTAACCCATACAAAAGAACAAACATAAATTCCATTCACATTGACCAGCATTTTTGAGACAACTGTTAGCTCCTTCAATTAATGTGCTAAGTTTATCTTACGCTCTGTAGGAAAATGTGAGATTGTTTTCCAGTGTAAGTTTATCAACTTTGACTGCACAGTCAGTATGTAGGTGATGACACAATTGAACTTGTCTATTTCTTACATGTATTGTTTCTAAAACATACATACCTTCGCTGACACTAATAGCTATTTCTTGACCTTCATCTTTGCCATCTAACGTTGTGTTCGCTTCTTCCAGTCTTTATATACCCCAATCGCTTGCCCTTCGCAATATATAATTTGCAAAACTTTACTTTAGCCCTCACACGCTCTCAATGCAAGTACTGTATATAAGCACTGTATGCACACAATAAAATCAATTTTTATCGACAAAGTGCGAGCATTCAGACTAACGTTTTGTGACTTACATTTTGCTTTCTAATAATTGGGAATTCTTTGTTTTGTTATCCAGAGATATATTTCGTTGAACTTGTTTTTTGTTTTTTGTGTCCCACCAAGCAAGTAAGCTTCTGCGGAGGATGGTCCTGCTCCTACCGATATCTGGGAAAGCTTCCACGAACCTAGGTAGGAGGGTCCCCAACATCTCAAAGGAAAATACTCTGTCCACCACCCCAACAACTGGGAACTGGGTGTGGTAAGGACTCCCGAGCTCCACTAGTAGAAGTAAGGGGGGAACATAAGTGTTGAGGAGTCGTGAGGAACAGGTCTCGGAAACAATGCAACAGGCGATTCACCTTCCCTGATTTTTAAAAGCAAACTGATTTCGGCTGATTCAACTCTAAGATCAGCAGGAACTGAGAAAATCCCCTTTAGCTTTACTCATGATAGTCCACGAGTAGCAGTCCATTAGAAATATTGTAATATGATATCACTATCCAGAATTGCATCCAGATAGTCTTATGGAACACCTCATCTCAACAGTACCCATTGCAACCTGGAAACGATATAAAGGTTGCTAGTGCAGAATTTAAATACAAGCATACCTGACTGGGCAACACTCGTCACTGAGTGGGATCCAAAAGAAATCAATAGGGACCCTAGAAGAGAAAAGAACAATAACTGCTTGAAACCGTTACATGGGAAATTATTTCCTTTTTTTTTTTTTTTGTAGGTGTACCACATCCTCTTCATAATTCCGTGGGTAAGCATAATTCTCCTTGCCAATTCGATGAGGGAGTGAAGACAACTGTTTGTAAATCTAGAATGGATGAGTTCTGGACTTTGATGGAGTATGGCATATGATCCCGTCAATCCAGATCTAGGATTTTGCCTTTTGGAGTCTTCAGGTTGATCAGAAGGATTGTCCACTTTGGTGCTGCTTTCTTTCTTTCATAAATCCGGTGGATCGAAACGTATCATTCTGTGGGTACTGGTAGCGATCCTATCACAAAGATGTATATATATATATCTGCGATCCAACTGCCCTGGCCACCAATGTGGGATATGGGTATCATGACACCTTAAATCCAATCCAAGTTGTGGAACCTCTGCTGTTTGGTTGGGGGTGGATCATCATACTTATATTCCACCCTATTAAATTTTCTGTAGTTCGGACTTAAGAGCAAAACTGTTCTGGATGTAGTGCAGTGTTCCCCACTTTGATACCACTTCATGTGGTACATATTTGTTCTCTGCAGATGCTTTCTGTATGATCTCTGCCTTCTCAATGTGGGATTCTAGCTATTAGTGTTAGCAGAGGTATGTATGTTTTGGAAGTTCTCATTTTCCTAAACTGAAAATGTATTTCCAAACATACTTACCTCCTCTGACACGCTTCCTCTCTACTAAGAGCCAGTGTTAGTGACCGAAAAGAGGTAAGTCTCGAAAAAGTGATTTTATTGTCTGCATACAGTGCGTATATACAGTACCTGCATAGAGGGCGTGTGAGGGCTAGCATTTTGCAAGTTAGATATTGCCGAGGGCAGTCGAGTGGAGCAAGCGAACACGATGTTTAGATGGTAAAGATGAAGATTGGGAAATAGCTATTAGTGTCAGCAGAAGTAAGTATGTTTGGAAATACGTTTTCAGTTCAGGAAAATGATAACTTACCATACCCACAGAGAAGACTGGTAATTATCGCAGACAGAATTATATATATCTGTAGTTACACTACCTTGATATTTAGGTAAATCTTATTTAAATTGCACTGAAATTGCAAATGATATTGCTAAGATTTAAGAACTTATCCTAGATGTGAAGTAACTTAATGAGAATCAGCATTATAATAGGTTATTGGGTTTGTAAGCTAAATTATGCAGTGTTTGAATTAGTTGGTCACGTGGAGATGTAGTTTATATGTTATTAGAAAATGTTATCTTGCGAATAATACAGTTGTAAGTTTATACATTTGTTGTACCAGCTTTATTTTGTACATTTTTTTTTAAATTAGTCCTGCTTTCTCACAAAAAGTCCTACTTTTTATTTGTTAAAAAAGTTTTTGTAGTTATATTTTTCATTGTGATTCCAAACTCTTGATTCAAGTGTGCTGTTGATATTGCTTAATATAGTAATTGATTACAAATTAAGTAAATCTACACTATTCTTAATTATTTGAATTGCATACATATTGATATATTCATAACCTCACCATGATACACAGGGGGTCCATAAATTATGTAAGATAAACAATGGAGATAAACATCTTAGGTTTGTCTATGGCCCGTGATGTCATTAGTACACCTTGACATGGGCACAATTCATGACTCAAAGGATGACCAAATGGTAATCAATCTCAGGTTATGCACATTCCAACACAATTGTGTTGGTTATTTGGCTTGCAGTGTTGCCATATCTGGCACCTTTGTCTTACAGACAGTGTCCATCATACACTTGTAGGAAAACAATCGGGGATCAATCCCTCACACGTAGGAAATTGCAGCTGTTTATCATTTGTATTCTATTTAGTTAAGATGTATGAGTAATTTGTGGACATCTTGTACAATATAACTTGTGTAATCAATGGACAGATTTATGTTCCCTAACTTGCCCTACTTTTACATCTTATTGTACTACGAGACATATTTATAATGTAAATATTTGAACATAAAAGCTATAACTAACATTTTTAATTATATTGCTAGATTTATAAAGGTTGACAGTATTTTATATCCACTGTTTTTATATGTATTTATAAAGTAATAAGTTATTTTAGGTTCATTGTTTGAATTTTTAGCTTTTTTGTTGAGTTTATGATAATATCTTGGGTTAATTGTTAGCTTTCTTTAATCTGGAAAGATTTTAGGTTTTACTGTAAATATTATTGGGCCATTTACTGATATGTGTAATTTAACTAGAGAAAAAAAAATCTTTAATCATACTGTCTTATGGATTGTATTTGTCTAATAGGTTGATGAGAAATTAAAGCGAGCATTAGTGAGGTTTGAAGATTCATCAGAATATTGGACTTTGTTCAAAGATATGCAAAGAGGTAATTTATATCAATGGCAGAAAAGAAAATTATATACAAATAATATAAAATGTTACTGATAAAAGCAGAAAATGAACAAGAAAAAATCTAATCTTGCAAGCAACTTAAGCATTTTCCCAGCCTAAAATTAATCACAATTTTAGAATCTGATAATGTTTTATAGTCCACTCCTTTATTTGCATTCATAAAGTTTTGTAACCTGTAAATGAAACTATATCTGAAACACAGACTTCAAACATAAACTGTGATAAGTGTTTAATAGTTTTTAACCTAAGTTATATTTTTATGGTCAATTTACAATTTGTAATGAAATAAGAACCACTATGTGACATAGCTGTATGCTCTTGTTATACACTACTCTTGTAACCATTGGCTAGAAACCCAGGTTTCACACACATACGCATGCCTATTAGCAATAATAGTCACAAGGCTTATGTCACACACCAACCCATTTTGTTAAAAGCAGTTTTGTAATGAAAAATTTTGTATATTGTTAAAACTATTATAAACAAATACTTTTATCTTACTTATAAAAGTTAACTATGTGATTTTGTAAATTATGTACAGCTGTTTCAAAAAGAACCCAGAATAAGACTATAGATTTAGGTTACAAAAAAGGGGTTTTTGTAAAGCAAATAGGAACTGCCAAATTAGTTACTTTAACAAAATAAGCAAGCAGAGTAACAAATTTAATTTATTACTATTACAAAGGAAAAAAATACAAAGTCATTATATAGTTAGATTATATTAATGATATGCAGATGAGAAAAGGCTACTGATGTAATAACTAAAAGATTTACAATCTTGAAATGGAAGAAAGGTAGCTTTATTGCAAATAGATTGTGAAGAAAATAATTCTAGTTCTCAAATGGTATATTTGACTTGATTAGCTTGAGAAGTATGGAAATTGTAAAAAAAAAAAAATACAGTCATTGAAATTTATAGTTTTTGATATCACCAACTTCAAAAGTTCTTTGTTTGAGATAGAAATGAACAAAAAACATCTGCAAAACCTATAAATATACAGCTTTGTTTCACATGTTTATAAATTTTATCTACACAGGAAAGAAGCTTAAACATCTCTAATTTTCAAATAAAAATTACATTTGGAGTGGAAATTGAAATTAGGTTTAGCAGTTTGGATTTCTCTTACTGTATCCAAAACATATGTTATACATCAAACAAAATCCCAAACCTGCACATTTTAGATATAGTTTTATTTTATAAGGAAGATATCATGCAGTGTTTTAAAACTGTGAGATACTGGGCTAGAAACCTTTAACTGTTTATTCATCCAGCCTATATTTCAGATCAAAAACTCCATTTGAGGTGAAGGGAGTTTAGGGACACTCAAATTCATAGCAAAAAAAAAAAATTATTGCATGGTGTTGGATATATAAGGCTGTTTAGTGTAAGAGTTATTATTTAGTTCATTTAGTGATCTAATATTTAATGCTTATTTAGTTTTTATAACAAGTGTTAAAGTTAATTCTTTTAAAGGTGATAGTTATAACAAATTTTGTTACATAACTTAGTAAGAGTCTTACGTTGTGTGTGTGTGTGTAGTTCAATTGATATAGTAGTTTTGATGCCAAGTTACTCAAATTTTTGGTATTTTTCTCCTTACCTTAACTAAGTATTGTTACCTTAGAGCATTGCTAGCATAGTTTAGAGAAAGTTCAAGGCCTTGGTGAACAATGTATAAACATAGGAAACCAAGCGAGCGCAAGTCAAGTAGAGAAAAAGTGCAGTTCAGTCAGAAAATTAGTTAGCGAAAGAAAACGTGAAGTTAGCTGGTGTATGAGTGATTAGCTGTAATGATCAATATTTTAAAGTGAGTTTCACAGTTTAATGGAGATAAGGAGAATAATTTGTCTTGTCAAAAGGTGTTCTAAAGTAATTGAACCTGTCTGAATGGGCTTTGACAAAAAGGAGACGATTATTGAAAGTTCAGGATACAATTGTGCTAACCCACTGATACTATTGTGATAAAAGTAGAGAAAAATAGTATGTATTGTCAATTGGATTCTAAAGTAATTGAATCAGCCTAAGTGGACTTTTGATAAGAAAAAAGAATTATATAGAGTTTTAGACAAAACTGTGATCTCCTATAGTGTCAAGAAGTTTTGTACATACATTTGACTTGTTTTGAATATATTGTTTTAAAACAAGTGGATTGTTTGCTGTCTGTTTATTGTTGGAATTTATTGCCAACAAGTCACACACACCTACTTTAGAAGAATCCCAGCCCACACATGTACATAAAACCCTGGCACATGGCATGGAAAATAGCTTGTAGGAAAAAGGATGACTTTTAAATTAAGATATAAGTTTGTGTATTTTTGAAATATTATTCAGGTAATTGATCACAACAGTTCAGTAGGTTAATATAGATTTGACCTACTTTAATTTAGAGATTCTGTAAGGCAGTTTTTGGGTTCATCAACCTTTATACTGGAGAAAAGAACTTGGTTGCCACTTTCTTGATTATTATTATTAATGATTGATAAGTTTTTGTTTTTAATACTTCCTGAGATATTTTCTTAAACTATTATTTTATTTCAACTATTTCTAAACCCTGTTTAAATTAAAGATTGTCAGCTATTTTTGCACTGCATTTCTTATTAAAATTATTAAATAAATATGACTTGTAGGTAATTTTATTCTCATACATTATAAAGATAAATGGTTTATATAACATTCTCCAAGGTAGTAGATCTAGTAAGTTGTTTAACTATAGAATGGCCTTATATCTTCAAGATGTTTGGGACCTATCAACTTTTATGATGCCTTCATTAGAATACATGACATGGAGTTTATACTGAACTTGTCTGAGAAAACACAGCTTCTTACATGCATATTAGTATGCTTTTAGTAGTTGAGGGTGTGAAAAGATGAAAACTTCTGTTAACATTTTTTTATTATCACACACATTCTGAAATTGCTATGTAAAAAGAACATTAATAGTACTTGTACTTCTTTTATGCACATGCAATTTTTACTAATAACTAACAATCCACATGTCACATCCATTCCAGACATTTTTACACTGAAAAAAGTCTTTATTATAAAAGGATTATATGCTGTATTATTCGATGGAACTAGGAATTAAGTTAATGTTAGCTACATTATAAATTATATTTCAAGTATAATATAAAGATATGTATGTTAAAAATTGAGATTGAGGTTTTTATATCAAAATTATTGGCTGTTCATGCTGTCTGAAAACTGTGATCTTGACAGTAGCCCTGTCATTTGCAAAAGACTGTAATGTCCAAAGAATAACACCCCTCCCTACATGCTTTCCATAATCTATCTGCTGTAAGAAAATAACAGTTTCTCAGTGCCTGTTTCAACAGTCTGATTGCACACACAAAACCATAAGCACTGCATTTAGTGACTTGACTGCTATGTTTTCATATTGAATAGCATGAATATCTGTTTCATTCTCCAGCTGCTTGAGATATGCAAAGGTTGAATGGGAGGTATGAATGGAAGTCATATCTTGACAAACCCATATCCTGATGGACTTGTTTACATGCAAACCTGGTCTTTCTGTGTAGGACTTAGTGTCCAGAACATTGGTTTGATAGTAAGCAGGGTTCAGCATGACCTAACTTGCCCTCTGTGCAATATCCAGCAGTGATCACGAATCCCTTCCAAAAAGTTTTGCTACATGCTGTGTACAACTTTTGAAATATTGTTTTCACTCATTGACTGGTAGAAAATTACAAGAGACTGCACATATGCTTCATCAAGTGTCTGTCCCCTGTACTGCCATTTTGCTCTTGTTCATACAGATTTCTACAGTTGGTCTTTCTTTCTGGATGTTTCATGGAAGCAACTTGTGTACGTGTGACCTGTGCCACTTTTTCAGTGTATCTGAGTATATGAATATTTTGCATAAGAAAGAGTAATTGCATACCCTTCCCAAAAGCAATCAGTTTTAGTGGCATAATACTGCCTACAAAATGGCCAACAATGTTAAAATATACTCTGACATATACTATCCACCTTGGCTTTATTACATCTATGGTTGTCACAGGACTTGTTGATTTGCATATTCAAAATTGCTTGAATATAACGTACTCTGTTCACCAAGTGTTTTTAATTGATTCAGGTTTGTAAAGTATAATCCTCAAGCATCTTACACACTACAAATATTTTATCAGATTATCAGTAGAGCTAAGTGATTTAACCTAGTGCTTAGGCAATGATTAAATCGATTAGTGTCTCATAAACTAATTGATTAATGTCCCAAAAATAATCAGTTAATCAAAATTAGGGCTTCCATCAATTTTGTTCCAGAAATTAATAACAGTGTTCTTTAATGTTGTATAAGCAGGCACAGATCTAGGTGGTCCAACCTCCACCTCCTCCTCCATTTCTTTCCGAAATTAATGAAAAGGAACAGCCAGATATCCTTATACTACTGTAGAGTAACAAAAATAATGTTTTATGTCAGTTTTTATTTGATTAGGATATTAATTACCATAGAAACTTTTTAAGTTTTCTGAAATCAATACAGTCTATTGTCTACAGAAATCAAATCAGCTAACAACTGATTATAATACAACATGAAGAGCAAGTAAGTTTCATGCTTTGGCTTTTTCCAGACACTAACAGTGTGTGTAGACCAGAGATTTGTTTTCTTCAAAGTTAGTATTATTTAGGACGCATTCAGCTCTTATAACTTAGTCTTGTTACAAAATTGATTTTTTCATTGTTTAGTAGTTAGACTTCTTGTGATAAAGATGTTTTTTTGTAGTGTTGATGTCCAAAGACTATGAAAACAGACTTCCCATGTACCAATAATTTTTTTGTATCTCATGACAAAACCTTGTCGAAACATTGTACATTTACTGTTATGTTAAACTTATATTAAAGTTATTTTTCATTACCCATTCAAGCCATCTCCAAGCATTATTAGTCTTAAAGTGGGTTCCTCGTCATCAAATTTGAAATACTCCACATCACTTCTCACCAGACTCGGCATCCAT